ATTATTTACTAATAACTTCAATGAACTTTGGACTTCTTTTTTCAGGATCATTGGTTCTTGATCATATGCTACCTCTTCAAATGGTTGAACATTGACCATTTCTTTTTGGTACAGTGACTCTGTATTCCTTCCATCTTCTTTTGATGCTTTCTGCATCGTTCAGTGTTTTTCCCATACAGTCATTCAATACATTAAGTCGAGGTTTGAATTTTCACTTCAGTTCCCTCAGCTTGAGAAATGCTGAGCGTGTTCTTCCCTTTTGGTTTTATAACTCCTGAGTTTTGCACATTTCTTTATAATATTTGATTTTGACTTCTCGAGTTGACTTTTGAAAATTTCTGTTCAGCTCTGTACTTCCTCACTTCTTCCATTTTCTTTAGCATTTCTGTGCTGGAGAGCAAGTTTCAGAGTGTCTTCTGACATCCATTTTGATCTTTTCCTTCCTTCTTGTCTTCTCAATGACTTTTTGCTTTCTTCCTGTATGATGTTCTTGATGTCATCCCACAACTCTTCTGGTTTTCAGTCTTTAGTGATTAAGGAATCAAATCTGTTCTCCAGATGATCTTTAAATTCAGGTGGGATATATTCAAGGTCATATTTTAGCTCTTGTGGACTTGTTTACATTTTCTTCAGCTTCAGCCTGAATTTGCATAGGAGCAATTGATGGTCTGTTCCACAGTCTGCCCCTGGCCTTGTTTTGACTGATGATATGGCGTTTTCCCACTGTCATTTTCCACAGATGTAGTCAATTTGATTTCTGTGTATTCTGTCTGGTAAGATCCGTGTGTAAAGTCATCTTTTATGCTGTTCAAAAAAGGTATTTGTAATGAAAGATGTCATTACCCTTGAAAATTTTTATCATGTGATCTGGAGCATCATTTCTATCGCCAAGGCCATATTTTCCAACTGCTGATCCCTCCTCTTTGTTTCCAATCCTTTGTTAAGTACAGTCAATTCATTTCCGACCTATAGCGATCCTATATTGAGTTTCTGAGGAACATCTGGTGACCTCCAACTGCTGACATTTGCAGTTCAAACTGACTTTGCAATCCAGCACATTAACCCACAGCACCACATCAAGACTTTCTTATTTTTTAAAGTAATGTCTTTTGCCAGAGATAAGATTATATCGATTTTTCAAAAAAAAAAAAAAAAAAAATATATATATATAATAAAGGCAGAAAATAGCTAAAATTGTAGTTCTATTTAACTCAGGACTCTGACCCTTGATTCCTTTTTTTGAGGAACTAGTTTAGAATTTATCCTGCACAGAACCAATTCTGTTTTAGTAGGGGAACTTTACTCTATCTTTTCCAAAGAAGTGAGAACATATGTTGTATAAATCCCAGGTCTCTTGGTGATTCATGAAGAGGGTGGATTGACAGAAATCACAAAACATTGATTCCAGTTCTGAATGGTACTGAAATTCAGTTATTTTTAGGGAATCCCAAAGAGCTAGTTAAAAAAATAGTATCCTTACTTAGATCTTGAACAGCAAAGTGAGAAGCACACCTTTAACTGCACTTCCTAACTGCTTATTACACTTCACTTCCGAGAAAGCGATAAGTCAGTAACTAATATAAAACACAAATAATTTAGACTAATTTGGAGAAGGTCAGTCTAAACTTGTGTAATCTGTGCATTGTTTAATTAGAAAAAACATAATGAAGCTTTAAAGCCTTCGTACTTTCAGGTACATAGAGTAACTCAAACTAAGTTAACAAAGGTCCTTAGGGTATCTGCTTTAATGAATAAATTAAAAGTATAATTAGCATCTATATTTGTAAGGATGTTTTTAGCTGTAAAGAATAGAAAACCTAAATAGAAGTACCTTAAGCAATAAAGAACAAGTATCATGCCATTTAAGAGAAGGTCTAGCGGTTGAGTGGATTAAGAGTTGACAGATCAGGACTCAGTGATATAATTTAGGGCTCAGATTCTTTCCATTTTTCCACGCTGCCTTCCTCAGCATATTGACATTTATCTTTAGGCTTGTCTCTCATGATTTCAATATAGTTGCCTCAGTGTGGGTGATACATTTAGTTATATTAACACTGAACTAAAGAATAGATAGATATCATTTCTTCCTGTGTATCTTTTGAAGGAGTCTCTGAGAGGTGCAAATGTTTAATATACTCAGCTGGGCAGTTCAAATTCACCCAGAAGTGCCTGTGAAGAAAGACCTAAGGAATCTATTTCTGAAAAATCAACTACTGAAAATCCTATAGAGCACAGTTCTACTCTGACCCAATTAGAATCACCATGAGTTGGAATTGACTTGATGACAACTTGCTGGTTGGTTTTTTGATCCTAGGAGACTTCCAGCAGACTTACAGGTCTTGTTGATTACAAATGCAGCACATATCTATGCTATGCCTAATCCCTATCACTAGCCAGGGAAAGGGAATTGATCTTTGGTGGTTTCAGTTAATGAACATTTCCTCTAGTGGATGAGGAAATGTCCAGATTCCCTTGAATTGTGAGTATACCTGAAAAAGATTAGGAATTTTTTTTTTTTTTTTAGCAAGGACTAGGGTAAAGGATTGCTATGAGGATAGATAGCTATTATTGTCATTGCTATTAAAGGAGCTCTGGTAGCGTAGTGGTTACAAATCAGGATATGAACTGCAAGGTCAGCAGTTTGAAACTACCATCTGTTCCACAGGAGAAAGATGAGGCTTTCTGCTCCCCTAAAGATTTATAGCCTTGGAAACCCTGTACAGGGTCATTATGAGTCAGAACTGACTCCACGGCACATAACCACCACCACCAACCATGTGCCATTATGTTCATTCCAACTCATAGAGACATCATGTAACAAAAGAGAACTGCCCCCATAGAGTTTCTTAGGTCACAGTCTTTATAGGTAGCACAGAGCAGCAGTTCGAAGCTACCAGCTGTTCCATGGGAAAAAAATGAGGGTTCTTCTCCCGTAAAGATTATTAGCTTCGGAAACCCTGTACAGGGTCTCTATGAGTCAGAATACACTCCACAGAACATAACCACCACCACCAACAGTCTTTCTAGGAGCAGGTTGCCAGGTATGACTAATTGGTCTGCATCCAGCTTCCCCTTCTTCATGATAGAAGTGTCTATGCTTCTATTAAGGCTGATCTCTCTACCCATGCTTTGAGTCCTATTCTCTCAGAGTTTCTGAGGAGCCTTGTGTGATCAATTTTTTGTTCTCTCTCTCTTTTCTTTTGTACATTCAACTGTAACTATACTTGGATTCTCATAGCTGATTTTTAAGCATGCTGAAATCTCTCATTTAAAAACAAAAATAAAAATGAACACAAACCCTCCCTTGTTCATTTTCCTCTTTGAACAACACTAGTCTTTCTCTCCTTCTTCCTGTAGCACCAAATTTTAGGGGACTCATCCTGGTGTGGCATTGTGGGCTAATGTTTCAGACTCAGAGTTGTTTGAACTGCAAGTTTGTTGGTTCAAGCTCACCAGCTGCTCCTTGGAAACCCTGTACAGGGTCATTATGAGTTGGAATGGATTCAACGGCAGTTAACAGCAACAGTAACCGTCTACACTAACTCTCTCCATATCCACCCCTCTCATTCATCTCTCTGGCTTCTATCCAGAATGACATTGTAGTGCTGTGCATTACTTCCTATGGCTTTTCTACCCATAGTCCTGTAACTAGTACCAAACAACTTTTTCCTGCTGGGTCTGCGCAAGAAAAGGTGGGAGGAGATGCTGATAGGATGATGTGATTCAGTTATGATTGTTAACAGAGTTAATTGTGATTGTAAAAACTTGGAACTCTATTTAACACGGTATAGCATGAACCATCTCAAAAGCAGGTGGGGTGTGGGATGATCTCACGACCATTAAAGAAGAATAGCCGGAAGTAGAGCACATCCTTGGGACCTCAAGATCCCTGCACATAGAACCTCCTTGACCCAGGGACAGAAAGCTGTGATACTTGAGGAGTGGCAGAGGAGCAGCAGCAGTAGAAACAAGAGCTAGAGCATAAGACAGAGCTGTAGGCTTCCCAGCATATGGAGCAAGTAAAACTGAGCGACTTGGGCAAGAGGCTTGCTTACAAAGTGGGGTGCTTCCAGACACTTAATTGGGAGATCCATGTTTGCTGACTCGTGGATCTAGGGCCAAGTGCTTTCTGGATGAGGTTTATGATGGAGTGGTATGCCTTGTGAGCATTTATCAGCAAACCTAAAAGAAGAACTTTGTAATATTGCTGAGGCAGGACTGAGGGCCAGAGATAGGCCTATCTGTGAGTACAGCTAAGGCAAGGCTGTCACAATGGGAAGAACTGTGTCCTGAACATTTCTGACCTTAAACTATAGCCTGTTAATATCTCTAATAAGCCCCATAACTTCAAGAATGGTGTCTGAATTGTGGGTGACAAATGCAATGAATTATACTCAGATAAGAAATAGATAGTGCAGTGAGAGGGATGGTTTGGTACTCATTTTCTTTTTGGTAGATACTCAGACAGCTCTTGACCTCAGTGTTATGAAAATCCGACACATTTTTCAGTTCTCACCAAACCTGACCTTTCAGGATCAGTTGCCACCATTGGCCACACTCTTTTTGTTGGCATGCTCTTTTCCTTTGTTAAGACATACTAGTTCTTCTGATTTGCCTTCTAACTCTCTGACCATTGGTTTTCATTCTTCTTTTAAGGCATCTGATTCAATAGCTGGGCATTAAATGTGAAGATTTTCAAACTCTAGATATTTTTCTTAGGCAAAATTCTATACAACCATGGCTTTGATCTTACAAAAATAAGTAAGAAGAATGAAAAAGCACAGCTGTATGAGGAATGAACTGAACCAGGTTGTAGAGGGTGTCTCTTGAACAGAGAAAATAGAGTGTCCTGGTTTTGATCTCTGAAGTGCATCAAGAGGGAGGCAGTCATTTATTACTTGCTGATCAGAGGCATCTGGAGTGACCAGGTCATTTCTTTTTACACACAAGGGATTTATAGTATTTTTCCTTAAATATATCTCTAGCAGTTGTATCAATAGGTTGGCATTTCATTGGTGGAGCCAAAGGTAAAATACGTAACCATTCAGGATAAACAGGTAAAAGTTAAGTTTTTCAGCTCTGTTCATAGAAATAGTCTAGATAGGCACGCTGTATCATGTACTCTCTTCATTTTTCAAATAACTAATTTTAAAACATGGCGTATTTTTTCCCTAGTTACCAGGTGAACTAGTTAAAGAAGATGAGGAGATCTATGATAAAACCTCTGATTTGGAAGGCAATGAAGTGAGTTAATTTTATTTTATATTTCATGGTTTGTGTCTATGGTACCTTACTAGTGTAACAAGTTGAAAGGAACTCAGGTTTGATGGTGGAAGAATGAAAGATTATGACATCTGTTTGTCAACAAAATTCAGCATAGATTTAGAGTATGTATTTTCTAAGTAGACTTTAATGTAGAGTGAGTCTTTTGTGTGCCAGAAAATAATATTAGTATGATTTTTAATGGCTTTTTTACTGGCTTTAAGGTTGCTAGGTGACGCAAATGGTTAACACATTTGTCTGTTAACAAAAAGATTGGTGGCTCAGTTCACCCAGAGGCTCCTGGGAAGAAAGGCCTGAAAATCTACTTTCCCCCAAACACCCATTGAAAACCCTGTGGAGCACAATTCTACTCCGGTGTCACCATGAATTGTAATAAATTTGAGGGCAACTGGTTTACTAGTTTATACTTGTCCTAATGACATTTTATTGTGTTTCCAGTCCTGATGGTGTAATGAGTTAGTTATGTGTTAGACTGCTAACCACAGGTTAGTAGTTCAAATCCACCAGCTGCTCCATGAGAGAAAGAACCTTTCTGCTCTCACAAAGATTTATAGCATGGGTGGTGGTGGTTATGTGCCTTAGAGTTGGTTCTGACTCATAGTGACCTTGTACAGGTTTTCCGAGGCTGTAAATCTTTATGGGATAAGAAAGCCTCATCTGTCTCCTGCAGAGCAGCTGGTAGTTTCCAACTGCTGACCTTGCGGTTTGCATCCCAATTCGTAACCACTACACTACCAGAGCTCCTTATAGCATGGGTAGGGAACCTTTTTTCATGCCAAAATTTATAACATCATTTGTGGGCCATACAAAACTATCAATTTAAAACATAACCTGCTATATTTGGTCAAACAATGATGAACTCACCCCTAATGTGGTGGCTGAAACTGTGGTTGACTTGGCAGGGTCAGACCAAATGATTTCACCAGCCTTATATGACCCGTGGGTTGGAAGTTCCCCACCCCTAATTTATAATCTCGGAAACCTTACTCGATGGCAGTGATTTTTTTTTTTTTTCTGGGTTGGTATTTCCAGTCACAAACTTGGAAACTTCACCAAAAAGTCTCTAACTGTATATTTAGAGGGGAATGTTAGGGGAGGTGAAATGTAGCAGCAGGTGTGTAGGTGGTTCCATTTTAATATACAACACAGACATTCCTTCTTGAGGTTGTATAGACAGTATATTTTGTTGGGACAAATAAGAATGTCTACAGTTTTTACTCAATAGATGGCAGCATAAGCTAGCACAAGGAGACTCTGGCCTGGATTTCCTGTTTGTTTGCTCTTTTTTTCTATCCAGGCATTTCAGATACATCATCCACATTGGAAACCTGTTTCTGTGGTACTCTATGAAATTATATGACTAATCTTATACATAAAATATATGTATTTGGAAAACAAAGTTTAAATAGGCAAGTCATGTAACTAAGAAATAGACTTTTGGGAGTTTGTTTTCAAAATTCTGTTTCTAATTTTTTTTCTTTCCCTAAGTTGTTTCTACATTTTAAATTTTAGCCCAAGGGTGAAAGTTGTATAATAAATCTGGGGTATCAAGTCTTAGTCGATTCAGATGTTTAGTACTTCAGAGCTATCTAAAAAAAACAGCAGCCTTGAAATAATTATTTTCTACTCTTAAATTTGCTCTGCAGCTCCTTGCTTCCTAGTTCAAGATGAGGGAGAAATGAGGCCAGGAGAATTTCTGAGATAGTGTGGAGCTAGCTATTCAGCGTGTCCCTGGTTTCTTGGTTCAACATGAAAATGGGTATTTGCAGTAATGGATATGGGACCTCAGCAATTTTTCTAGGTTAAACCTAAAAAAACAAAAACAGCAAAGGGGCTTAATGCTCTACAACATATGGTCAAATATTTCCTTTAAAACAATGTTGTTGTTTTTTTCCCTTCTTATTTTCTTATATACATTTGATTTGAAAGCAGTTTGTAGTAAAAGACAGACATTCTGTTTCTAAGATGAGTAGGGAAGCCTTTCAAAATGAGGAGGAAAGATATTATCTCATTGCTTTGGTGACAGAGTAGATGGCTGTGTATTGAGAGTAGGAGTGACAGTGGAGAAGATATTTGTCCCAGAAGATTAGAATAAGAGTAGCAAGAGAAAGAGCATTTGCTTGCACTGGGGAAAGTAGAGGGAAGGGTACTATTATGTTTCAACTAGAGCTTGAATGTCATATTTTAACAGAAGTACAACACAGGCATTTGATTACATTGAGTTTTTATATTACTTGAATATTTTGCAGACTGGCCTTACTGACTTGTTATGGAAATGTACTCAGACCTCTGGGAGCATTAATGTGTATTAGTAACTTGATATCAATCAGTAGCAAATTTAATTTCTTAGATTGAATCAAAGTATCTTTCTTGCTGCAAGTAATATTATTGAAATAATGGTAGATTGAAGCACCTAGTTTTCAAGTATCTAGGTTAAAAATCTAAACCTTTCTGGAAAGAAGATGTTATGAAACAATCAAGCTTCCATTCTTTGCCCAAATATTAATGGCATAAAATAGAGAAGGGAAAGACTAGAGACAGAAAACGTATTTATTAGGTTTATATGTACTAGATAACTGTGTTAGTAGTTCCTTTACATATGCTATCCCACTTGATCCTCACATTTACTCTTCAAGGTAAGTATTAATTTTCCCACCATATATACTGAAAAGAAAGAAAGAAAGAAAGAAACTTGAATAGCGTAAGTAACTTTTTAATGTTAAATAGTTAAGAAGTGCTGGAGCTTGAGTGTGAAACCAGTTTTGAATTATTCCAAAGGCACTGTCCCCACCTCCTTCACCTCCTCCACTGACTCATACTGGTTAGCATATAGTTTTCAGAAGAGTTATTTACTATATTGGGCTTCACAGTTTGTTCTTTAGGTATGTAATTGTTTTGATATTGTTATGTAGTTTATATGATTTGTGAAGTATCCAGAAATGCTTACTCCTATTAAGTCCATACTCTTTCATCTTTGCTTCCAGCAAACCTTAACAAAACTTTGTCGTATACTCTTTTTTTGTTGGTGTGAAACATTCCATGGATTTAAAAAGCTTAGGCCATGTTTGATGGCTCAGAGGGGGAAAAATCGTTTTATATATTGTAATAGCTAGCAATAATAATTTTAAGAAGCAATGTTCAATTAACATTTCCTGGCCAATAGGTTACAGTGATCGCTTATCTGCTATCAGTGAACAGTAGTTTTATTTGGCATTTCATTTGTATATTTATTTGACAAATTCATTATATGCCATTTATTTGGCATTTATTATATTAAAATTGGGGCCTGTCATTGATGAATTGACTCCCCACTCTCCATATTAGATTGTGTGACATTCACAAGGTGTTGTCTTATATTCATCTATGTACTTAATATGTCTTGTATGAAATACATGTTTAATGCATATTTGTGGATTTGCTCTGAGTACCTATGGCTGATTAAATTGCTTAAACTTAAATATATAATTCTGGAATAATTGCCTTCCTGGTGTGATGATGTAGGATTAGTTTTGGACAGCCAACAAAAAGGTTGGTGGTTCAAATCCACTAGTTGCTCTTCAGAAACCCTGTGCAGGGTCGCTATGAGACAGAACATCAACAAAGTTGTAAGACAGGATATTATTATGAACTCTATTTCAAAAATATGTATATTACACTTCTGATGTTTGGTCACAAGTATTTCTGTTGTAATTTTAAGCATTAAAATAATCCTAGTTTTAGAGAGCTATTCAAATGTGGCGCTGTGGGGTTAATGTGCCAAACTGCAAAGCCATTTGAACTGCAAGGTCGGTGGTTCAAGGTCACCAGCTGCTCCTCAGAAACCCTATACAGGGTCGTTATGGGTTGGAATCGACTCTATGGCACTTAACAACAACATTCAAATGTAGGCATTATGACCCTCCCCACTTCCAAGCCCAGGGAGTTATGGACACGTGAACTTATTTTGACATTTATGTTAGTAACATTTTGAATGAAATCAGAATCTAAAGTAGAAACAGAACTATGCTTTTACAGAATACTTCTTCATCCTCAGACTGCTTTAAAGATGTTAATTAGTCATGACAATTATTAGGTTCTTGAACAATATTTTTCATTTCCAAAAAGGAATGTCATCAACATTAATGAGCTATTTTTAAAAGTGTGTGAAGTAATAAAGATGATTTTTTCTTCTCTCTCTCTCACCTATTTCAAGTAATGCTCCTTGCATACAGTTTTAAGTAAATTGGGTGTTTGAGAACTGTTTGAAGCAAGGTAGTCTGGAATTATTTGTCTCTTGTTCTTCTATTTGTTTTGGATTGGTAGTAAAAACATTTTATGTGCAATCAGTACTTTTAAGTTTGTGGTACCTGCTAAAAAGTCCCTGTGTGGCATTGTGGGTTTATGCGCCAGACTGCAAAGCTGTTTGAATTGCAAGGTCGGTGGTTCAAGCTCACCAGCTGCACCTTGGAAAAACAATACAGGGTCGCATGGGTCAGAATTGACTCGATGGCACTTAACAACAACAACAACAAAGAGTCCTGATGATACAGTGGGTTATGCATTGGGCTGCTAACCGCAAGGTCAGCAGTTTGAATCTACCAGTCCCTCTGCTGGACAAAGATGAGTATTTTTGCTCCCAAAAAGAGTTATAGCCTTGGAAAACTATACAGGATCTCTATAAATTAGAACTGACTCCATATCACACAGCCAACACCACCAACAAGTTTATAAAAGAATGTGTAATGGTTGTGAAAAGATTCAAAGATCCCTTTCCACAAGAATGGCAATGCTGAAAGATGTATCCACAAACTAGGTATTTAGAGCTCTCCAGAGATGGTTTAGTTGTCCTTTTCCTGAAAAATGTTTAAGTATATTCTTTATGCCAATTCTGCAGGGATGTTTCAGATAAAACCTGTTATGGATAGGAATGGTTGGGTACTGCATGAGTTTTCTGATCCTGATGTCTGGAGGATCGGTCTTTTAATATTTTTCTAGGTGTGGAGTTATAGGATAAACATTTGACTACATAGTCAGTTTGAGTCACATGGTCGTCAGTTCAAACTCACCAGCTGCTCCTTGGAAACCCTATAAAGGGTTGCTGTGAGTCAGAACTGACTCGTTGGCACTTAAGAACATCAACAACTGAAAGGGTTATGTACAAATTTCATGGGTAATTTTGTATATTCTATGAAATGAAGAGAAAAAGATTAATTGACTTTAGTATTTTGGAAAACATGTTTTTCTTTCTTCAAGACTGTGCTTTGTATTTTTTCTGCCGCTTTTTGTGTTGTTAATGGTGCTTGGAGTGCCCTATGCCTAATCTCTGCCTTTTCAACTTTCACGTACCTCCTAGGCTCCTTGTAAATGCCAACTTCTTCATTAGGGCTTTCTGGATTCTCCACCAAGAGGTATTATCTCTTCCTCCATTGATCCTCAACTTTATTTTGCTTCTATTTCTTCCATCATCTAACTCTTGTTGTTGAGTGCTGTCAAGTGGGTTCCAACTCATAGCAACCCTATATAGGGTTTCCAAGGACAGGCTGATAATGACCACTAACCTTGTGGGTGCACTTCAGTGCTTATCTTAAAGCACCACATATACATTGGCTTTTATTAGACTTATTCATATTTGTGTACCTTTACTATCTCTTCTATGGGACAAAGATGAAGTTTTCTGTTCCTGTGATTATTTGAAAGCATCAGAAGCCCATTATAGAGTCGCTATGAATTGGAACCGACTTGATGGCACTTAACAACAACAACTATCTCTTCAGATAAATTGTAATTTTAAAAAAGGAAATCCTGTACTTAATTCATTTTTAGCACCTTCTATATTACTGAGTTTTAGTTTGAATAAGAACTTTGAGGATATTTTGTTGTTGTTAAGTGCCATCGGATCAGTTCCAAATCACAGTGACCCTATACAGAGTTTCCAAGGAGCAACTGGTGAGCCTGAACTGCCAACCTTACAGTCCAGTGCATTAACCCACAGTACCACATCATTATATAATAATGGAGGCAGCATGGAGCAGTTTTAGGAACTCTGACTGGGAAGTGGCCAAACCATTCTAAAGAAGTAATTCTCTATAGAGAGAACTAGAAATGAAGCTGACTGATCCACAAGTCTCAAAAGGCTTGAGAGTAATCATAGCCAAATCCATGCCATTTCCTTATATGAAATTTAATCTCTCCTCTTGGGTAAATACCATACAGTCAAAAGTCCGTCAACATTTGGAGGAAAATATTTGCAACACAAATCACATTTTAATTTCTGAAGTAGTTTTATGTCAAGACAAACACATTCCAATAAGATGAAAGGCAAATGAACAAATAGGACATTCACAGGAAAGAAATAAAAATCTTCAAAAGACAAGAAAATGTATTCGCATCATTACTAAATAAAGATATGCAAATAATAAACAACGAGAGTTTTTTTTTTTTTTTTGATTGTTTATTATCAAATTGACAATGTCCAGTGCTAAGGAAGATGTAGAAAAACAGCAGTGCATCCTAACAGGGTCAAAATATAAATTGGTATAGCATTTTGATAAGAAATTTTTGCGTTCTATTGAAATTCAATTGTGCACCTGTCTTCTGTACCATAATTTCTATGGCTAAAAACATTACATAGTTATACTAATAATTTGAAATAACAAAAAATCAACAGTGAAAATCCTATTAAAATATTCATAGGGATCTGGCTGATTAATTTAAGCTTCATTCATACAGTACAAAACACTAAGACTGTGAAAAAATGAATTAGACTTGTTTGTACTGAAAGGGTGGAATTACCAAGATATTATATGAAAAGAAATCAAGGTACAGAACAGAGACTCTAGTATGCTCTCTTTTGGATAAAAATACAAAACAAACTATATAAAAAGAAAGAAATTAGGATAAGAAAGGTTCAGTGCTTGACAAAATGGAAGAGGATTATGAGAAACGGCAATTTAGGATGAGGTGAGAGATTTTAGACAGAACTAATGAATGTATCTATAATAAAAAATAACTTAACCAAGAAAATGAGACGAAATAGAAGAGATAAAAGATTTATTTTATAATATTTTTCTTACAGATAGTTGATTACTGTATTTCTTTAATAACAGGAAAATGAAGATGAAAAGCTTTATGATGATAATGAAAGAAAGGTTTGTACCCACAAATTCTATAGCTTTGGGTTTCTTATTCTGAAGACAGCCATTTAGATTTCTAATCTAATCACTGGATACCAAACTTTGGGCAGATGTTTTTTGAAATATAACTTTTACACCTTCATCCTTTATGCCATAGCTCTTTCCCTAGAGTTAAAAAAACAAACACTGAGGAAAAGAAAGATTATTAAGGCATTTCAGATAGGTGGACCAACCTACTCTCAAGGCAAATAAGTTATGATCATGAAAATTCCTTTAGTGTAGTGCATTAGGAGATCCCATCCATAAATTATCTGCAAACAGGCACCTTGAGGTACTCACTTAAGTTTTTCAAGCAGACATAAAATCTGCACTTTCAGACTGGCCATTAAGTTAAGGATAAATGTGTCAGCATGGTGAAGGCTTAGGAAGAAGGCTGACTCCCTAGTAAACTGTGAGGCATACAGCCCCTTTTGGGAAAGATGATGGCTCTAGCTGGGCAGCTGTTCCCAAGGCCAAGGCGGCAGGTCAATGGTTGTTGAAACACTTCCAAATGTCCAGTGCTGCTCTGTCTGCTGCTCAGCCTTAGAAGGATCTAGCGTAAGGAGAATCAAGTTTTAATTCTTTAGTAAATGACTGAGTGATGATAATGATTTTTGTCTGAGTTCATGAATTTTTATTTATTTATTTAGACATTCTCATGACTCTATAAAGAACTAGGGCCATAAATAGTAAAGTTTGAGAAGGTTACCTAATCAGAACCAGAAAAGGAAACTTCCTGGGATATAACATCAGATGGATCTAGAGTTGAATTATTGATGCGGGATCCATCATGTAACAGTTGTGTGACCTTGGAAAAATTACTTAAAGTCTCAGAGCCTCAATTTGCTTGTAGGTTTTTTAAAAAATGTTTAAAACAAAATCAGTCTTCAGGATTAGAAATAATGTTACTCAGTGTTACTATTTTTATTATTAGAAATCATTGAATTATAAAAGCATCTGTCACCATTCTCTAGTTGCAGGATTGTGCACAAATCAACTAGAGTTTTGTTGTGAATATATGCCTAAAGTGCAGACAGTGAAGGTGAACTAGTGAAAGGAAACAGAATTCTAGCTTTAGTTTTTCTGTTAACTTGCTGTATGTCCTTTGTGTAAGAAATTGAACCTCTCTGCATTCCATGCAATCAACAATTAATTTGCATGAATATCGGGTTAAGCCCTCTCAAGACTCAGCTGGAAACAGAATTTGAAAGTTCATGAAAAGTATAAAATATCTGTGTTTGAAACAAAAGTTTGTATTATTTATGCTTAAACTAGATAATGAAAGTACATGTTCTTGAGTTTGAAATTAAACACTTTGGTATTCCCACTTTCAGCTGTTAATTTGGCATCTGTCCACTGAAACTCCCAGTCAACTAACTTAATTGCATTTCACAGGTGAAATAATAATCTGTATTTCCAATGATCTCTCTGTAAGCTTAAATAATGTTATATCTGCTGTTGTTAAGTGCTGTTAAATCGGTTTAGACTCACTGTGACCCTGTATAGAGTTTCTGAGGAGTGGCTGGTAGGTTTGAACCACCAACTTTGTGGTTAACAGTCCAGTGCTTATCTACAACACCACACCAGGACTACAATCTGATTTTAGCATCAAGTATTTGGAAAATTTATCATCTACTTAGCATACATGTTACTTTTCTTTCATTCAGAATATTTTAGTAAATGTAATAGAATGAAAGCTAAGCAAATAGTGGACTCATATAAACTGTGTGTCTCTGATGATAAAGTTTCACCTCTCTGAGCCCCAGTTCTCTAATCTGTAAAATGAATATAATTACCAATTTGTTAGGTTAGTATGAATATTAGAAATATTTACAAAGTGCATAAACAATGCCTTGGGAATAAATTATAGGTTACTGTTATTATTGTCATTCTCTAGTCTAATCATCATTCTGAGCAAAGGTTTAAAGATTTTGATAGTAAGGATTTGTTGTGTTGTTGTGTGCCGTGGAGTTGGTTCCGACTCACAGCAACCCTGTACAGGGTTTCTGAGGCTGTAAATCTTTATGGGAGCAGAAAGCCTCATTTTTCTCCTGTGGAATACCTAGTAGTTTCGAATTGCTGACCTTGCGATTTGCAGCCTGATTCGTAACCACTTAGTTATTTTGTTTTTTCCCCCTCAGTATCTGACATGTATAATGCATTACACATAGTAGTCATCAACTTATTTTTTAAATGTAATGTTTTTCTATAATACTTTATTATTTTAAAAATAAAGAATAATTTATCAAATTAAAAAAACTCATATTTATTGCAAAATAATTAGCAAATATAGATAAAAAAAGAAAAATACTTAATTCCTCTGCTCAGAGTCTGTTTTCCCTATTGTGTATATTCTTCAAACTTGTTGTCTAGTCCACATTTTTTGTCATGTAGAAAATTTAAAAATGTCTTAAAAGGGTCATGACTTTCTAGCTAACAAAGAGTTATTTTAACAAATACCATTAATCAATATTGAAGCCACTTTTAACATTTTAAATTATTTCTCAGTATACTTCAGAATGCTGATTTTATTTTATCAGAAATAGATTTAAACATTTTGAGCAGGGCTGTCATTCAAATGTATAAAATTAAGAAAGACAAAATGAAAAGCTAACAGATGGAATAATTTACCTCATAATACATTTAAAAATGAAAACCAAAAATTTAAACCATGAATTTAGGTATTAAATTTCTATTCTGTGTAATTCTCTGGAACAAAGAATATTTGGAATATGCTAGTTGTTCAGTTTTAAAAATATATAGTGTATTTAAAATATATATAAGAAGATTTCTAAACATCTAGACAGATTGGTATTATACAACCTTGCTTGCTGAAAGTGAAATGGACTTAAAATACTTACTGATGAAGATCAAAGACCACAACCTTCAGTATGGATTGCAACTCAATGTAAAGGAAACAAAAATCCTCACCGCTGGACCAATAAATGACATTCTTATCAACAGAGAAAAGGTTGAAGTTGTCAAAGACTTCATTCTTCTTGGATCAACTAGCAACCCTCATGGAAGCAGCAGTCAAGAAATCAAATGATGTATTGCATTAGGCAAATCTGCTGCTGCACAAGGCCTTTTTAAAGTGTTGAAGAGCAAAGCTGTGAGCTTGGGGACTAAGGTGCGCCTGACCCAAGCCATGGTGTTTTCAATAACCTCATATGCATGTGAAAGCTGGACAGTGAATAAGGAAGACTGTAGAAGATTTGATGCTTTTGAATTATGGTGTTAGAGGAGAATATTGAAAGTGCCATGGGCTGCCAAAAGAACAAAGATCTGTGTTGGAAAAAGTGCAGCCAGAGTGCTCCTTGGAGGCCAGGATGGCCAAACTTTGTCTCTCATACTTCAGACATATTGTAGGTAGGGACCAGTTGCTGTAGAAAGATATCATGTTTGGTAAGGTGTAGGGTCAGAGAAAAAAAGGAAGACCCCCAGAGAGATGGATTTGCAAAATGGCAGCATCAGTGGGCTCAAGTGTGACAACAATTGTGAGGTTGGCCCAGGACTGGGCAGTGTTTTGTTCTGTTGTGCATAAGGTCGCTATGAGTCGGTACCTAATAACAACGGACAGATTGGTAATAGTGACAAGCTCCATTTGTAACTGGATGTTAAGTGCTGTTAAATCAGTTTAGCCAGAAGATGAAATCATAATTATAATTTTTTTCCAAAACTATAAATAAGTTTAATTTTGATTAACAATGGGTGCTGTTAATAAAAAATGAACAAGAGTTTTGATTTTGAATTAATCAATTTGAGAAACTGGTTATTACTTTTTAGAGGTACATTTTATGCTTTTGCATAGTTATGTGTGATTAGTTGTTGAACAAGCCATAGTCACTTAAAACACACATTGAAGTCAACATTGGACCGTAACTAAAAATCTGTTGAACACCATGCATTAAATGTTTTCAATATTATGGAAAAATAGCTGGTTTTGTCTACTTTTGAAATATTTATAGCTCATTGGAGAAATAAGCATACAGTTGAAGGTGATAAAAATCACCAAGCAACACATGACTAGAACTCCTGCCTATTGTTTAGTATTTTTTCTTAGAATATATATTCTGAGTGTCATTTGCCCTGATATCTTGATGTATATACATTAAAACACCTAGAATATAAGTGTACAATTGAGATTGTCTTCTCTAGACTGATTTTCAATGAAATACTTGTACTCAGATGTGAAATGATGGTAGGTATATCATCAAATGAGGCCTTGTTTGCATAGCTGTGCAGGTGTGCATAAGTTCGTTTGAATGCCATGATTATTTTCCTCCCTAGATTTCCTTTAAATTAGAGGGTTAGTATCTGGTCTTCTCTTGAAGAAATACATTATGGCACAAATTCTCATATTTACTCAAGTTTTCAATAATTCTCTGTTGAATGTTGTTAAGTGCTGCCAAATCAGTTCCAATTCATAGTAATCTATAGGGTTTTCCAGTAGTGACTGGTAGATTTGAATTGCTGGCCTTGTGATTATCTATGGTGTCACTCTGTTGAATGCTCTATGTTTATTTTTCTATGAAATGTCAGTTTCTCATGTAGGGAACAGTTCTTTTGCTCACATTCTCCTTTCCTTCTCTGTAAGGGAGCTCTACTTGCTCAAATAAACTGTGTCATGCCAAGAAGAGAATTTGGTGTAAGAAAGATTTGTCCTCTCAAAGCTGAGTCTCTAATGCTTAATGTTACAGGCCTCAGGTATTATTTGTTGTGGGCCTACTTTTTTTAAACAAGAGTTTTGTGTTTAATTTTAAAAATTTTTTCTTGTCATTATGAATCCATCCCAAATCATACTGTGATTTGCGATTCATTGAGGATTGAAATTACAAAGGATGGATGGAAATGAACACTTCCCATTTATTGGACCTAAAGATCAGCTCAAGAACTTAAAGGCAAATATTACAACAAAATGTGCAAAGATCTGGAACATGCTCAGCATTTCCAAGGTGGGTGAAATGAAGAAAAAATTCAAGCCTCAACTTTCATTATTGAAAGATTCGCTGGGTAAATTATTGAATGATGCA